TCAGTTAACAAAAGTCAACCAACTTCCAAGGCACTTTTGACCAAGAATTATGTTTCTCCTCAACTTTTGATGAACGTGAAAGTTATTCCTTATGATCTTAGATTTCCAAAAAGTCCTAGAAGTACTTCATCTCATTTGTGGAACTCAAGTTATGAAGCTTGCAAGGCAGGGGTATTTTGGGAAACTTTGATTATAGGTCATTTTGGTTATGGGTCATTACATGCCTTTGTGCACTTCAAATGGAACCTTCACCAACATGAAAGTTGTCCTAAATGACTTTAAATTCAACATGGAACTCAAGTTTAGCATGAATTTGGCATGGATAAGGAGATTGGTGAGGGATTTCAAGTGAAAAATGGATGTTAAATCATGAATTCAATTGAATTAGTTCTAGAACTTTTTCATGCCATATTTGTACTCAAAATGGTTCACATTTGTCCAACAAGTGAAATGCACAAATTAATTTTGGTGTATGAAGTGAAAATCATGTGTAATTAAAAGTAACTTCAGCAAGAAGTTTGCATTCCAATCTCCATAATTGGATCAGCTCAAGGCCTAATTCCAATCCACATGCGAAATGCATATTCTCAGCTGTAAAATGAAGCAAAATTTAAGTGTGTATGGTGTGAAATTCACGTGTGCATGAGCACTTGCCAAATTTGGGCATTTTCAAAATTCAAAGGAACCAAGCCTCATTGGGCCTCCATTGCATCAGATATCGATAGTATAAAAGCTCAGAATTGAAATTGAGCTCTCACTTTGGCATTTTCGTGAAGGGAAGCTCAGAGCCAGATTTGGAAATTGAAGAGCAATTTGAAAATTGGAAACTCAGATCTAGCTCAATTCAAGCAAAATTGAAGTGATATTCCTCTTCCTCAAGTTCAATAGAGTGGATCTACAGGTTAACTTGCAAGCTCAACCTCATTTGAAGCTCAAACGGAGAGACTCTGTTAGGTAATCTTCAATTCCAAATATCTCCCGTGTTAGAGCTCAAACCTAGGTCATTATTGGCGTATCTGAAGCCCTACAACTTGTAGGCAATGTTTGCATGGTTAATTGTTGTGTTTGATGAGATTTCCAGCTGAGCATATCAAAACTTCTTCCGTTCGAATCTCTTGATCTATGTATGATAAATGAATTTGGAGGCTGGATTCATGATCTATGTAACTTGGCGTTTAATTTGATATAGAATTTCATAGGTTTTGGCGAGGTTTGGAACCCTGAACTCCAACCACCTCGCTGGAGAAGATGGCTGGAGTTAGGGCTCCGTCATCTGGTTCAATCTCAGGCCACCCTACCTGTGTTTAGTTTGAATCTTTGACTGGTTGTGATGTGTGGCCAGGATCTGTCTGACTGGGTGATGTGGATGAGTTGAAAGCCACGTCAATTAGTGAAACGGTGCGTTTCACTAATTGAATTGAGTTCAATTTATCTGGGCCAAGAATGCTATTTACGTACCCTCCTTTGGTGAGCCCAATGTTTTCAACTCATTTCTTTGCTATTTGCACCGTGCGCATTTATTTGTTTTATTTTATTTTATTTTATTTTCTGTTTTAATTTTAATCATTTAAAAATAGCTTCAAATATCATAAAATTCAACAAAAAATATTTTAGGACACTTTAATGTGTTAACTAATTTTTTATTTCCATTTTCCATTTATTTTTCAATTAAAATGGAATTTTATATTTGGAGGTGTTTTTAAATGAGTTTTTACTTGTTCCTTTTGGTTTCATGTTTGTTCTTGATCCAATTTTTTATCTCCAATTATTGAGACTCATTCCTCATTTCAATAATGAGTTGAGTGATCTTATAGGATGATTTTGGCTCTGGTTTGGTTTATTTTCGGTTGACTTTTATGAGCTTTTGTTTGACCTTCGATAACCCTCCTTCAAAATGGTGCACCCTTGTGGATCAATTTCTTTGGTGATGTTTTGCTTGGACCTTGGTTGTGTGCTTTTGGCCTCTGGTTGCCAACTTCCTTATGTGCTTTTGAGATTTTATTTGGATTATTTGAACCATTTTCCTATTTTTGGATTAGCTTGCAAGTCAAGCTATCCCTAAGGATGGTTCACATACACATTTGACCTAGTTTTGATGGGAAATGGCTTTTGTGGATCCCTTAAGCTTCTAACTCTTTTTGATCCATATTCATAACATGTTGAAGTTGTTGGATTCCAATTTATAGGTCATACACCTGCTTGATTCTTGTTGTAAGTTGCATTCTTTTTAGGCCTTCCATTTGGTTTCAAATGTTGAGAGTGTTTAGAACTTAGGTTCTTTGCCATGCCTAATCTTGCAATTTTCTTTGCATATTTTCTTCTTTGCTTTGTGCATTATTTCCTCTTGTTTTCTCCTCTGTACTAGGGCCTATGAGTCCCATCTAAGATGATTTGGTCCCTTCTTTGGAAGTACTTTGAGTTTGTCTTAAATGGTGATTCATCTTGAGAACTTTTGGTGTGTTTCTTTTGCATGATCTTTGAGATGCTTTGGTTGAGTTTGCTTTTGATGTTGCTTGCTGCCCTCATATTATCTCCCACCATCTCATGGATCATGTCTTCTTCTCCTTCTCTCTCGGTTTGCCTTTGGGCTAGTGGTTGTAGGAATTCATTTTTCTCCCACTTCATCCCACTTTTGTGTGGGCTTGTTTGAGTTCTTTTGTATGCTTTCCTTTTTATTCTTGCATCTCTCATTTTCATGCTTGAGGTTGAAATGTTCTTGTGGTGGCTACTGCCCCACACTTTGTTCCTCCCTCCTTTCTTCATCTTTGTTGTGCATTACATATTTGCATCTTCTTTCTTCTTTTATCTTATGTTTCCCTCTTCTTTTTTTCTTTTTTCTTTGCCATATTCCCTTAGGACCTCTAATCTCTCTTGTTCAACAGAGGTTATGATAGACCTTAGGTTTGAATCCATGTATGATAACATTAGGTAGCATTCCTTTTTCATCCCAATCATAGGTGCACTTTGTATGAGAACATTAGGTTGAGTCTTAGTTTCCCTTTAAAGTTGTGTCTCTCTTCTCATCTTCAAACTTCTTTAAGACACCTAATAATGGATAATGAATGTTGTACGCTACAAGCCTTAAGCATTTGAGAAATGATGATTGGGGGGCCTCCTCTCAATTGTCTAGAGTGTTTAGCGTATGTCCTTTGGATGATATGCGACGCATTCGCTCCTAAGTCATAGTCTTTAGTGCAACATGAATTACAAACCAAATTCAATTCACTTCTTTCTTAAAAGAATTCAAAAACAAACACCAAATCTTTTTATCCTTCGGGATTAATTTGGAAAACCTTTTTCATAAAGAGAGTTTTGTTAACTCTCGGTTCTACCGCAAACAGGTAACGCCTAAGTCTCCAATGGTCGAGCTGTATACACCTAACTGCTAGAACTAAGTTTTAACCCTACTCGGGTAAAACACTTGAACCAACCGGTGTTCTTGTCAGCCCGAACTACGTTTGCTCTGATTTCTCGTGGCAGACGAGGATACGTAGGCACAAGACGACGATGTCTTGGTGAGCAACCTTCCCCACCTTCACCCGTAGTTTTCTGAACTACGTTGACTCTGACTTTCCCATTGCACGAGGGAGTACGTAGGCATAGAGCGGCGATGCTCTATCGAGTCTCTTTTCTTTTCTTTTGTCCCTGTGACCTGTAGCTTAGATAGATAAATACCCTTTTAGATAGACAACAAACATGGATCCCATCGAGTACGACGGATGTGAGGGGTGCTAATACCTTCCCCTTGCGTAACCGACTCTCGAACCCAAGATTTGGTTGCAATGACCTGTCTTCTCCCTTTTCCGTAGGTTTTCTCTGATCATTTCCTTTCCCTCTTTTGGGATAAATAACGAACAATGGCGACTCTTCTATCCTTGTCGGCCCCTCTTCGCAGCGATGCGACAAAGGGCTTCTTCAAATGCTCATTTTCAAGTATCGAAGACCTCCAATGAGTTCGTTCCACCAGCTCTTGGAATTTAAACCCTGGGTTATTAAAGTTGTTTGCTTGGACAAAGGACTATAATCCCTATGTACAACATCAAACTTCAACCCAATTATGGATTAGAATCTCTGGTCTTTCGCAGGAATATTGGAGTCCCGAGATGCTTTATGCAATTGCAAGTGCTATCGGTAGTCCAATATGTATGGATGATAACACCACTAAATTGTTGTTTGATCGCTGTTTTGGTTACTTTGCCAGAATTATAGTAGATTTAGACTTAACTAGTACCATTAGAAACTCCATTCTTGTGGAAAGGAAGAGTTTTGCGTTTTGTGTGGAAGTTGCCTATGAAAACATACCTTACTTATGTGATTATTGCAAATTCATAGAGCACAATGTATAAAATTATAGAAAACTAGGTAAGATATTTGATATGCCCAAAGAAAAAGCAACTTCTCAAAGTAAAAAAAACTTATGTGGAAAAACAACAAGAAGGAGAAAGTGGAAATCCCAAAGGTAAAGACTTGGCCTCTCTTAACTTGGAAGGAACCTCTACCTTCAAGATTGTTACACCTAGTGCAGAAAAACTTAATAATAAAAATGATGTATTTGTTGAAGAAATCCTTTGGTCTAATTCCAATCAGCCCATTATGGAAATTCAGTCTAGAAGTCTTGTGGTTGCCTATGGACCTCACATTCAGGGGGACTTGCTTGCTCTTCGACATTCATCCAGGAACCATAGCCTAGAGAGGAATTTGCATAAGGAGGATGAGGCTCTCAACTCTAGTGGTTTGGAGTTCGTGGATGTTACTCAAATGGATAATGACCATGAGGAAGATCTAGGTTCTAATTTCAACAAAAACTCGTAGCAGGATATGGAGTTTTTAAAGCAGTCTTGGGCTAATATGGCTGAGGAGCCTGACAACCCTGAGGATATAGACAAGAACTTTTAATTGGTAGTCACCAAGCAGACCAAGAAGAAGTCAAGAGTTGTGCAAAAACCAGTTACGGAGGGACTAAGTACCAGAGCAAGGGATGTCTCTTCATTCATTGCCAAATGAAGTGCCTTTATTGGAATGTAAGAGGGTTTGCTAATCAACCCACAAAATTAGCAGTCAAAAGGCTAATTCTGAAACATAAACATGATCTCTGCTTCTTAGGAGAACCTTGGATGGCTTTAGATAAAATTTCTCCAGCTTTTTTCTCTAGACTAAATCTCAGAATTTTTACTATGAGTCAAAGAAATGGTCTCCTCCCTAATCTTTGGTACCTTTATGCCTCTCAGTTAGATCCTCAAATTATCCTCCAAGATGACCAACATGTTTCTTTTGTCATCAATGATGGCCCTTACAATTTTGGAATGGTTGTTACCTATGCTTCCACTAGTTATATCAAAAGGAGAGAACTCTGATCTACACTTACTACTTTAAAGAATTTGAAAGATATGCCTTGGTATTACATTGGTGATTTCAATACCATTTTGGGAGCACATGAACATAGAGGATTCTAAAATCCTTTTAGACCCCCCATTGAAGACTTCCAAGATTGGACTGACACAAATTACCTTATCCATCCTCCCACTAGAGGGGCGGAATTCACTCGGCATAATGGCAGGAATGGTTCTCAGCTTATTAAAAGAATACTTAATACAACCATTTGTGATCAAAAATGGATTAACTTTTGCAGTATTACTTCTGTTTCAACCCTCACTAGACATAAATCAGATCATTACCCCATCCTTATGGTGTTTGATTACCAAGCTGTCAAGGTGATTCCAAATTTCTAATTCCAAAATATACGGTCAGAACATCCAAATTGTATCAATGTGGTTGAAAATTATTGGAACACTAAGTTCTTTGGTTGCCCTATGTTCATACTATCTCAAAAGCTTAAGTTGCTTAAAAGTAGGCTAAAGGTTCAGAATAAAGAAACATTTGGAAATGTCCCTGACCTACTTAGGAAAGCTACTTCAAGTCTTGAGGATATTCAAGCTCAAATCCAAAGCGAAGGTCAATCAGATGATCTGCTTATCATAAAGAAAAAGGCTCAACTAGAAATGGAAACTTCCTTAAAACTGGAGGATGTGTTTTGGAAAGAAAAATCTAAGGTCAAGTGGCATCATGAGGGAGATAGAAACACTGCCTATTTTCAAAGGATTACTAAAGTAAAAAACTTCACTAAGTTAATCTATTCTATTTAGCATGAGGAAGAGATTATCACTGACCCTAGTTCTATCTCTAGCTTATTCTTGGCTCATTTTGAGTAGCTGTTCAATTATAACAATGACTCCATGAAGAATGATCTATATTAGGAGGTAATTCCCAAGCTTGTTACTGATAAATCTAATATCTTACTTACCTCTCTCCCTAACCCTGCAAAAGTCCAAAGTGCAGTATTTTCACAGAACAAGGATGGGTCACCAGGGCCTGATGGTTTTGGGGGTCACTTTTTTCAGCATCAAAGAAGATGTAGTCAATGAAACCATTCAATTTTTGTCCACTTGATGGCTTCTTCCTAATTGGAATTCTAATTCCATAATTCTCATTCCTAAATGTCACATTGCCAATATGGTGACCAGTTTAGACGCATAACTTTGGCTAATTTCAAATTCAAGATTCTCTCTAAAATCTTGGTAGACAGACTTGCCTCAATCATGCCCATCATCATTTCCCCTGAACAAAGAGGATTTATCAGAGGAAGTTCCATAGCATATTGTATTTGTTTAACTTCTGAAGCCATTAATTTGCTTCACAACAAGTCTTATGGTGGTAACATTACATTCCAAATTGACATAAGGAAATCTTTTGATACTTTTGATTAGGACATTTTGCTTCTTGTGTTGTACAAGTTTGGCTTTACTAATAAGTTATTGTTCTGGACTGGGCACATGCATGCCCATCTGCCGGGCAGGCCCAACCCAATGCCATTTGGGGAAGGCCCAACAAAGCCCAAATCCCCAGTGTCGGGCATAGGGTCTAGGCACCCCGAGCAGGCTTCCTCCCCTCGTCGGGCAGAACAACACGTCTTCCACACGTTCTCCACGTGCCCCCTCCGTGGGGACACGTCATCAGATAACTACCCACCTCCGAAAGAACAGGTCAGCCCACCTTCCGGAGATCCAGGACAGTTGATCTAGGGCGAATAGCACGTGATGGTCTTCACTATGCCACGTAAGCCCTAGCAGTCACTTGGGTTGGGCCTGGCCATCCATCCCAAGAAAGTGATCGTTGGCCCTGCGCTGGGGTCTCACTATAAATACCCTCTTTCACTAAAGGGTCAGGTATTCAATTCTCTATCTCTCTTCTGTATTTGCTCTCACTCTGGTCCATTACTTACTTTGGCATCAGAGTGTCTTGCAGGTACACCCCCTTATCCTCCCTACTTTCGGTGAATAGCCTTCAGATCGACGACGCGTGGCAGGTCATTGATTCCCTTTTGATCAGGTAAGATCAGTGGCACTGTATGTGGGAAGTAAGATTCCCAATTCCTCCGAGCAGAAGAACCAAAACTCCCGATTTTAAATTCCAAGATCATGACTAGCCCACGTCACGATGATGTTATCCACAACTCCGCCCTCGTCCTAATCACCAACGGCGACAACCAGGAAAGGACATCCCACTCCCGTGAGGGTGACACTGGGGACGGTCAGACAGCCTCTCCCTCGTCCGATGACGCAGCACATCACGTCGCACCTCAGGCAAGGAGCCCGACTGTATTCCAGCTCGTTCCTACGCCGGTTGGAGCAGACCCAATGATGACTGCCCTCTTTGCAGCCATCAACCAAACAAACCTGATGTTGTTCCTGCAGAATAAGTGCATTGGTGCATTGGAGCAGGATACCCCGTCTCGCTCTACCCCGCGGAGAAATCATGGAGACTCCCGGAGCCCCTCTCCCCATCCACGGGGGCGCCGACCACAACTGGAGAGGCCCCAACCTGTGGCCTCTAAGAAATGTGTCAGGCCGCCTCCCCGGAAGGAGAGGCGTTCCTTGGAACCAAGAGCGAACAGACTAGAAGCCCCGGTCAGAAGGCCGAGGGGATGTAACCAACCCCCTCGTCACAACCCGTCGCCTTCGCAGTCCCCTGTCCGCAGTGATGAAGACGACTATAGGACCCCCATGTAGCGGGAAATTATGACAACCCCCATCCCCCACGGGATGGAGAAACCGCTTGTACTCTCCATGTACGATGGCAACTCCTACCCGGATGATTACCTAGTAGACATCGAGGCCATGCTCGACTACAGGAACGTCCGAGGAGCCATCAAGTGCAGGCTCTTCCCGACAACACTGAGGAAAGGGGCCATGGCTTGGTACAAAAGCCTGGAACATGAGTCTGTCACATCATGGAAAGCTCTGAAGAATCTTTTTCGCAGCATTTCACGGCATCGCGACGGAATCCGAAGACGGAGGCCGCCCTGGGCGCAATCATCCAGGCCCCGGATGAACTGCTCAGAAACTACATTGAGAGGTTCACGAGGGAAGCAGTCCAGGTGACGACTTCAGACGATATGAAACGCTACCTTATGGAGCAGGGCCTACGCCGCAGCTCCAAATTCTACGAGGTCGTGGCGATCCACTGACGGGCCACCCTGCAAGGCTTCCTCGAGAAAGCCCGCCACTATATTTGATACAAGGAAACTGAGGCCGCTAATGCTGCCCGGGAGTCCCGCAACTACGAAACCCCCCACGGGTCTTGAGAAGAAGGAGCATCTGCCCACTGGCGTGGAGGAGATCGACAATGAGACGATCGTCCCAAAGATCCCCGGAGCAGAGGGTTCCAGCAGGCCACTTCACCGAATACACTGCCCTAGTCACTTCCCACGAGCGCATACTGGTTGAGTGCACCAACTCAGAGTTCGTCCAGTGAGGTGTCTGTTTCCCCTAACCGCCACCCCCCAAGGCCAACGTGGACAAGTCTAAATACTACCGCTTCCATTGGGGCCACGGGCACGTGACGGAGGATTGCATCCACCTGAAGAACGCAATCGAAATACTCATCAAGGATAGACACTTGAAGAGGTACACCAGGGGAGGAGATGCCCTCCGACAAGAGGCTCCCAAAGCCAAAAGAGTCAAGAACATCCCCCCTCCCGACAATGAATTCGGGCTACAGGTGGCCCTTAGTGTTAGTCGGCCTAAAGTCTGGATTTTGCTAAGAGAACACGGCCTACCCACCAGGCATCAGCTGCCCAAGGAACCAGTGCGCCCCGTTAGCCCGTGGGAATACTTCCCCAGGGCGATGTTCATCTCAGGCGGGTCCCCAAGTAAGCTCTTCGTAGGGTCGATAAAAAGGAAGTTTGATGAGCTGATAAACAACAGCTCCGGCAAAATGAGCATGCTCGACAAATTCCACGGTCGATCCAACCCAATCACGTACTACCTCAAAGAGCTCCCAGGAGGAGCCCCCAACTCGGCCATACCCCTACTGATCCGGGCATAGATGGAAAACTTCGATGTCAACGGGACGACAATAAGACCATGGGGATACGTGAAGCTCAAGGTCACATTTGGGGCACAGGAAACGGCTAGGGAAATCAACATCTGCTTCCTGGTCGTCAAGTGCCCGTCCCTATATAACTGCATCCTAGGCAGGACCACACTAGCCGAGCTCACCGCGATGCCATCAACTATCCACCTAAACATGAAGTACTATACCAGATTGGGAGTCGTTGTCACCCTTAACAGAGACATAGAAGCAGCCTGAAGATGCTTTGTAGCAGCAATGAAGGGCCTTAGTATGACCAGCCCCCCGACCAAAGCAACCAAGCCTCCGGCAATATGGGAGAACATACCAAAGGACCACGTCGATGCCGTACATCTTGATTGTCGCTTCCCCAGCAACCCGGATCGTGAAGAAGAAGACGGCCACGCTCCTCCGAAGATCAAAGGGCAGGCCATCCACCTCACATGCCTCATCCCAGACGGGGACTTCGAGATAGTGGTCCTCGATGAAGATACGTCCAGGAGCGTGAAGATCAGAGCAGGACTGTCCGGCCTGGCGAGGAAGCAACTAAAGGCCTGCCTCCACAAGAACGCAAACCTCTTCGTATGGAGTGTCGTCGAGATGCCCGGCCTTGACCCCGAGATCGCCTGCCACCAACTCTCACATTGTTATCTTGCTTCGTCGCAAAGTCCATGCAACACGTCATCCCTTTCTTCAAACTGCTGAGAAAGGAGACCGCGTTCGAATGGACGGAGGAATGCGAGCAGACCCTCCTCCACCTCAAACGCCTCCTTTCGGAGCCACCTATCTTGACGAGACCTGAAGTCGAGGAAACCCTCTACCTGTACCTGGCCGTCTCGACCGAGGTCGTGAGCGTCGTACTAATCCGGGAAACCCTTAACGAACAAAAGCCGATCTGCTTCACAAGCAAGGCCCTCCACGGCCCCGAAGTGAGATATCAACAGATCGAAAAAGTCGCCTTGGCCCTCATCAACGCGGCCAAGAGACTCCGATACTACTTCTTGGCCCATACCGTCGTAGATAGAACCGAACAGTCAATCAAACAACTGCTCAGAAGGTCCGACATGACAGGGTGCATGTTGAGGTGGTCGCTGGAACTCTCTGAGTTCGACATTATCTATGAAGGCAGGAAAATCCTCAAAGCGCAAGTGCTGGCCGATTTCGTCGCTGAGATGACCCACGCTGCAGAACCGACCCCCGGGACCCACAAGTGGACCATCTTCGTCGATGGCGCTTCGAGCCCCTAGGGAAGCGGCGCGGGCATCATCCTCAAAAACGAGGAAGGTACGATATTGGAAGTCTCCTTAACCTTGGCCTTCCCAACAACGAATAACCAGGCTGAGTACGAAGCTTTATTGGCCGGACTCCACCTGGCAGAAGACCTCGGGGTCAAGGAGATCAAGATGGCAGAACACCCAGCTCAAGATGGGACGTCCACGCCGCGGGGGAAAGACCGCGACTGCGATCCCCCTCCGTAACCGACCGGGTAACACCCCCGGTCACCCCGGCTAGTTCCCTACACTATCGGACATAATCGATAAAGCGTCAAGCAACACTCCTAACAACAAATAGAGATGCAAATCTATACAAGCATACAAAAATGCAAACGTAAAAACGAGCACACACTTAACAAAAAGAAAAATATTGTATTATAATAGGGGCACTAGCCCAATAGTCAATTGCAGCAAAAAAAAAGGGCATGCAGGCCCGACAAAACAACTTAGCAAAAATTGGC